GGGCCGTCCAAGTTTCGGGGAACTTTCCCACTCGAGATTCCACAACCCTGCAGTGCCCCCTACAGAACGCGGCGGCCGGGGAGGGCGGGCGCCCGCGACCCCACTGCGGCGGCGGCGCGGCCCAGCAGGCCTGGAGCGCCTGCTTTGCTTTTTTTATTTTTTTCCCTGGTTGTTTTCGGATACATCTTTTTTCAGAATTGAACAACAGCAGCGAGCGCGCCGCGCCTGCAGTGGAGCGTGCCCGGCCTCCAGAGGCAGTCGTCTCCAACTTTTCCTCGCGCCTCCAACTTCGGCGCTGCGGGGCCCACACCGGCCCGCCGCGCAGCTCCACTCTAACGCGCGCCCAGGCCTCGGGCAGCGCTCTGCAGCCCGGGGACACGCTCCCCAGCCTCGGGCCGGCCCCCTCGCCCGCCCCCCGGGCCCGGGCCCAGTTGGGACAGGGGAAACCAGGCACCCCGGGAGAGGGCGGGGCGCTCCCGCGCCCCGGGGCAGGGGGCAGGGAGCTCCCGCGCCCGGAACGTTGCGAGCAAGGCTTGCTCACGTCGCAGGGGGGCACTCGCGAGAGACGGACAGGAAGAGGGCCAGGGGGGACGCCAGAACCCGGGACCACAGCACGGAAACGGCCCGGGGCCGAGCTGCAGTCAGATCCGGGGATGGAGGGAGCCGGAGGAGAGCAGTGAGGAGGCCGAGGAGGCAGGCCCTGCTGCCCTCCTGGAGGCTGGCAGCCTGCTGTGGCAGTGGAGGACCAGGCCGCCCAGAGAGGGACGGGGTCAGGAGGTCGGGCCCGGCCTTAGCAGGCTCAGACAAGGCCCAAGAAGGCAGCCCCAGGCCCTCTGAGTTCAGGGCCCAGGCCTGGTTCGCTTGTCCAAAGGGGGCCTAGGCCAAGCCTCTAGTGGAGACACTGAGTCAGGGCCAGAGCCAGGCCTCAGGCACGGCCTCGACGCTTGTGAGCCAAGTTAGGGGTAGGGAGCAAGGGCCCTTCGGGGTCTCAGAGACTAAGGCGGGTAGGGGGCTTCAGGGCCTCCCAGTCCATAGCCGGATTGGCGAGTTAGACGCTTGTAGATCCAAGGTTGGATTGGGGTGGGGTCTCTGGGTCGTTGGCTTGCAGTGCAAGGATTGGGGGGATTCAAGTGCTTAGAGATCGAAGGCAGGCCTTGGGTAGGGGGAGTCAGACAATTGGAAAGCCTAGGCAGTTATTTGGGGAGGGGTCTTTGCGCTTGGGCGAAGCGCAAAGCTGCATCTGCTTGGCTGGAGGCCTGCGGCCTCGTCCAGGGAGGCTTCTGTGCAGGGTGGGCCGACTAGGCCAGGCTAAGGGGAAGAAAGTGAATCAATCAGGAGCATAAGTGGGCGGGGGGCCCCTGAGAGGGGGGTCACAAAAGGTGAGCCATGGCCACCAGGCGTTTAACCGACGCTTTCTTGTTGTTGCGGAATAATTCCATCCAAAACCGGCAGCTGTTAGCCGAGCAAGTGAGTAGTCACACCACCTCCAGCCCTCTGCATTCACGTAGCATTGCTGCGGTGAGTCTCTCGGCGGCCTCTCCGACACACGCACCGTGTGCACTGCGGCTCTGCCTGTCTGTCTGTCTCTGTCTGTCTCTCTGTTTAAAAAAAGGAGATGAGAATAAGACTAAGAATAATACGGAAATGCAAGGTCCAGGGCATCTGTCGCCCTGGAAGGGGAGAAAACCAGTTTCAGGCCCCTGCTCCACCGCTGCCTCTGCTCTGTCTCTCCACTTCCGCAACCCTCCCCCCTCCC